ACACACACCCCGAACCTTCACTTTGATCTTTTTTTTAGCTGAATCCCAGAAAACTAGAAGGGTTGTGACTCTGTTCGTCGGTCCAAAAAAATATCCAAGAGATGGATGGTGTAGGCACACAGTCATGGGAGATATGCTGACTGTCGGTCTGAATGTCCTGACAAGTAGCACCCTTCTAATCTGTGCTCAGGTTATATCCCCATCAGCTAAAGTTAATGTTGAACTGCATCTAAAATAGTGCTGAATAAATGTGTATCACCATCATCATGACAGGAGTTTGTTAGCATGGTACTCAACATGTAGGCAGTTTGGAGAACTTTGTAGAAATGTTGATTGCTATGTCCTTGAAATATGGTAATTTATTCAATAATCAGAGGTTTCATGCATTGCTCATCTTCTAATCCATATGCCTGTACAGTTAATCGTGCTTAAATTCAAACAGGTATTCAAGGTATAAGCATATACATGTACAAACATACGCACAGTGCTGAATCGTCATTGTATGTCACCAAATGAAAGCATCTTCTGTTCAGAAGACTTGAGGGGTTTGCTAATGATGAAATGATGCTCAGAAGATAACGTTCATGAAGCTCAGTGCTGGAATGACCACGGCAGGCTGGAAAATATAGCCGCATTATTATTATTTTTTTTCAAACGTAATTAGTGTGAAACAGCTCACTGCTTCAATCACTGCTTAAGTAATGCAGGAATTTCCACAATTATTCAAAGGTGATATTTGATTATGTTCCTCTGGTATCAAAGAGCAAACAACACAATTATATTTTCTGAAACTGAAGCTGACGCTGCACCTTAAAAAAAAGGTTCAACCCATTTGAGTGCTCCCTTAGTGTACCTCATTTGCACTGCGCAAGACTGCACCCTAGTGGTTAACAAAAGCGTCTGCAGAAAGATCAACTATTCCGTTTCAGCATCATAATGATGAAGAGCTCCATGTCGGACAGATGAAGGATGATTCACTGAGATGGTAATATAACTCCACTCTTAGGCGTATGAAATAATATTGTTAGAGACAATGGATGAAGATGAAGAAGAAGAAAAAATTGAAATAGTCAAAAGGATCACAGTGTGCAATATACAAATGTTTTTTGGCCAATATAAAGCAAAACAGGTGTAATTGGGTGATGGTGAACAACAACAGTTTGCTATTTTCCAAACTCCTTCCCCACATATTCTACCTTTGTTTCCTATTGTCAGTGTTGTTGCTTGGAAACAAGGAATCATTTTATGGCTAAACCTCAGCTGCTCCAGAACGTTCTCCACAGACACGAAAGTCTGCCAAGCTTGTCGCTATGATGTTATCAGATGATTTGATGATTGTTTCCCCACACTGACGATATCTCTATTAGAGTGTCAGTTGAGAAACAAAAACCGAGCTCAAAAAACATCTCCTGACTGACGAGCAATGGACAGATGCCCAGAGAAAAAACACTGGCAACAAACAAGGCGCACTACTGGCGGAGATAACGTGGGGTAAAAAATGAAGGATGGAAAACTCTGGCTGCCTCACAACATAGAGAGAAAAAAATAAAAAACAAGCAACATCACACCAGTTCCTATTTTATGTTCTGGCAGCAGAACTGATAAACCCTTTACATGCAAACAAACCTCTCTGACTAACACCCTACTAAAAGGCCTGCTGAACTGAAATGCATGCATTTTACAAAAGTTGAAGTAATATCAATAATTCAGTGACATCTGCTGTTTGTGAAGAGAATGACTCCTGGCGGTGACGCTCTGTGAGTGTAAAATGAGTTCAGGGAGAGAAATGAGCATGGCTAATTTACCGCTGTGCTGATGAGACAGACTGAAAGGAAAATAATAAAGCTGGCTGTGAATGTGCGAGTGTGTGCGTCAGCCTGAACCTGTGTGCTCACTTCATATATCCATTTATCTACCCAACCATCCATCCATCTAAAACAAACTGTAGAACTGTAGACTGATGATTTTTCCCCCAACACTGAGATACGCACTTTTACAATTATGAAATAAAGAATTAATAACATGTAAATAATAACAATAATAATAATAATAATAACAATAATAATAATAATAATAATAATTATTATTATTATTATTAGTAGCATTATTATTAAACTTTGATATTACAAAATATACTATTCTTCTAAAAATCTACTTCCCCACACTATGATGAACATTTAAAAAAACAATAATAATCATAATATTAATATATCTACTACCAAATATGAACTTTATTATTAAATATAGATTATTTTTAGTGGTCGACCGATATTGTTTTTTTGACAGCCGATATCTTGGAAAGCATGGTGGCCGGTGGCCGATATAAAGCCAATATAATTTTATGTATTTTAATTAATATTTAAGAAATTTGAAAATTGATTAAAAAATAAATGTGTTGAATAAACATACTTATACTTTAGATGACAAAGTATTTTCACATATAAATAAATATTTAATAAAAATATAATTAAAAAGGAAGTAAACACTGTAACCAACAGGGCACTCAGTATTCTGGGAAGTTTGTGTGCATTAATCATATAAATTTTTATTTTTCAAATAAAGCCAAGGTAACACAGCACACAGTGAAAATGACATTAATATGACAATGGGCAAATGCATAAAGCGCAGCATAATTTAAAACCACGAGTTTAAAATTTGTCGATCGCGCGTCTCCAGTCAAGCAGAACTCTCCTCCTGTCAGCATTCAATTCACACGGACCGACCATCACGCAGAGAACACGCGATCATGCAGGTCACATACACACTTCACAAGATCTCACAACTGGATCCGACTAAGTTTGCAAGGTTTTTTAAATTGGATGTTTATTAGACATTCAAAGATTTGTTTAAATTATATAAATGCATATTTGCTGAATGCTGACGGCAAACAAGAAAGTATTATAATGTTTGCCTTTCTATTACTAATAATATAAAAGCAGTCATTATAAGACTTTTTGTATACATTTTAATTCCTTTGTTTAACCGTTCTATCTGATTATTAGACAGACTTCTATCCGTATTTAGACAGAACTGTTAACGACAACAGCGAACAAGAGGGAGAAAGTGAGCACTGTGTGCCCAGGTGCTGCCGTTCTGCCTCGAACGCATCGGCCAAACAGGAAAACTTATCGGCCGATAGCGATATAAAAAAAATGCCAAATATCGGCCTATATATCGGCCTTGGCGATATATTGGTCGACTACTATTTAAGAGAACATGAAAAATGACTTGTCTGGGATGAAATACTAGCTTGCTACTGCACAGTATACTGTCTGCCATTTTACTTTAAAAAAACAATAAAAAATAGTACATGACAATTTACTGCATATGGGCCCACTTTATATTAAATGACTAACTACTATGTACTAACATTTAACTTAATCATTTCATACAATGCATGTTTTATACAACTTACATTTCAAAAATACCTGAATGTAATTACATCTGTAATTAATTTCCATAGTTGAACCTACAGAAAAAGTACACTGCAACCAATAATTACTTTTGACGCAAGTACACGGTAGTTAAAGACACATAATATAAAATGGGACTGCATGTCAAATTAAAATGTTTCAAACAGCAGTATGCTACATGTTGCCAAGTTGAATTCATGTTTTGTTTAATTCAGTGAGTGATGTCCAGTTTCTTAGAAATATGGTTGTTTTGCATTTTTAATTCACTTTTGTGTCTATGTTCTGTGGCTGTCTGTGCAAATAATAATTCAAGGAGGAGATGAGAAATGCATTGGGAGATATAATATTTCATGCTGTGAGCTGTTGCATTTGCACATTTTGGAAATTTGCATACTGTGCACTATACAGATACTGCAGAAATAGTATGAATAGTACAGCAGCATGTCATTCCAAACTAACCCCTAGTGCACCTTTAATTGTTGAGCACACAGAGGACAGTAGGAGAGAAAAATGAAACAAAGACAGACTAAGAAAGTAGAACAAACATGGACAGACTGTTATAAACTCAGGGAGTAAGCTTGAGATGTGTACAAATAAAGTTGGTGTTCCTGTGGGGCGGCTGAAGGCTGGAGTGGAGCAGAATGGCTATACAGACAGTCCATCTGTTTCTGGACTGACCAGCAGTGAGAACAGCAAGGAGAAAAACCTCTTAAAATCTCACATCTCTGCTATTTCTAAAAGCCACAGAGGAGTGAGACAATGCTGGCTGAGCGGAAGTGTGTGTGTGTGTGTGAGTGTGAGAAATTAATCTCTTATTAGAGAACACTAGCTTTACCCATATCATGTAAAAACACCTCACAGAGTCAGAGAAAGAACAGGACTGGAGCTAAACTGTGCCAAAAAGCACCACGCTAATACAAAGTTTTTCAAGACATGGTACCATGGCAATGCCATTTATTTTTTGACATGTTGGAATTCATGTTGTACCATGGCATATATATCAAGGTATCATATAACTACCATCTGATACCATCATTGTATCAATGTCAACATAGTAGTCTTTGTAAGGGAAATATAGATTTTTTAACATTGTATTAATATCATTATTATTATTATTAGTATTATTATTATTATTATTATCATTATAAAATATATAAAAATGGTATGTACTTCCCCACACATGAAAAACCATGTATAATAATAATAATAATAATAATGTGATGATGCACATAACTATCAAAACAATGTATTATTATTATTATTATTATTATTATTAACATGTTTTCTTATTAAATATAATCATTGTTGTTATACAATATATAATAATTTTTAAATATTTTATTTTTTTTCTCTTTTTTACTTTGCACTTTTTTTTATGAAAGTTAGGGGGAACAGGGCATGACATAGACCAGTTTCGAACCAGAGTTTTGTTGCAGACATTGCTGTCCTGCAGAGTGAACATGGGTACTACTTGAGGTGTCACAGCTCCAATATGATAATGCAGATTTACAAGAAATACTTGAACAACAAACAAAGAAAGCTGGATTTCAGTTTGCTTTGTTAGTGGCCGTACAGAAAATCACAAACCCTAAAAGCGGGGTTGGCTCCCAGCTCCAGCAGACACTTCACTACAGAGGTACACAGGTTTGAGGCGGCGATGTGCAGCGCAGTGCCGAAGTCAAAATCACTGCAGGTCGCATCCACCTCTGAAACCCAACAGACCACATACGGACATCATCACACAAGCACTTGAGTTTGCCATGAGATTCAAACTGCAATTTAAAAAGATTGTGGGACCTCCTTCAAGCACTGTAGGAATCTTTAGTTTATTTTTACTAATTTATTTTTTCTGTATTTGTAAAATTAATACATTTTAACGACTGTGTATTTATTGAACATTTTTCCTGAAGTGTTTGTTTTGAACCAGCATTATTATGCAAAGTAAAGCCTTGTGCCCCATGCTGCTGAGTCTTTTAAAAAGCCTCCCTTACCACCTCATAAAGAATGAAAAGCAATGTTGGCAACTAGTTGAAATTAAATGAGTTACATTTTTATTAATTAATTAATGTATGTATGTGGGTCAAAGACGAAAAAGGGTTTAAGCATAAAAACAATAAGTGTAATACTGCTTTAAATTGTAAAAATTAAAACGTTTTCTGTTTAATTTAATAGCAATTTTGTTTTTGTTTTTCCGAGCAAAAAATAAATATCATACATTTTTCCCTGATTTACAGAAGAGACCCACTGAAATGTCATTCAGTGTAACAATCTTGTCAATCATATTTACAACAAAAATCAATTTATGACATATTAAAAGACTAATTACTTGCACCTCAAATACTAATTAGTTGTAATTTTAAATTTTTAAAATTTGCCACTATCCTAGGTTTTGCCCATTGGTCAGTAATATTTTTTTACTAATTTAAAACACAATAAAATTTTATATGCTCCCTTATTCTTTTATACATTTTAATATGTACAAGTCAGAATAAGCATGTTGTTTGAATTTTCACATTAATATTGTGTTACACTGAATGACAATGTAACATTATTTAAACCAAATATTCTCCAAAAACGTATCTGAAACCTTAATAGACACTTTACTTACATTTAATGTGCTTTCTATGGACATACAATCACTTTTGTTAATTTTCTTTTGATGCAGACATCTTAACGTCTTTGACCCATGTATGTATATATATATTGATTGATTGATTGCATGTATGTATTTATTTGTTCATGTTTCAGTTAATGGTTGTTTTATTTTAAATAACAGATTTTTTTTTTTCCTTTTTATTGTATGCCGGCTGAAAATCACAAATTTGTCGGTTTCATTCAAATATGCATAATTACATTTCATATTATCTTTAAAAACCATGAGATTGACACTCAGAATAACTCTGACCTCATTGCCAATGACACTAATATTCCGCTGGACTTAAGGAACCCACTGTCTGAGAACAGCGAAGAGCTCGGGAACAGTGGTCCGCGGATCCAACAGAACTTCCCGACACAGAGGATCATTTGGGTCAAAGAAAGAGAACTCTGCAGAACAAAGCAGTCAAATCTGTAAGATCTTTAAACAACCTCAGATCCTAAAAATATGCTCGAGTCAATATCAATTATTATTCAAAATCCATGTTATTCAATATCCATGCTGAGCCAGAGCCCGATCACTGAAATTCAGTTAAACATCTCAGTTTGAAGTGAATTAAAGTGAAGTGTGTGTGTGAATGAGAAGTGAGAACAGAGAGAGAATGATTTATCAGTGCTGACAGGCAGAACATTTGAAAATAATTTCTGTGACCTTGTCAATACTTCACTTTTTACAGCAGTTTAAGCAGAGTCCACAATTTAGGGTCTACACTTTACTTCATAAATAAAGCTACACTTCAGAAAACAGCTAAATAAGTTGTTTGTTTATTGGCCAGGCAGCCTCCTGACCGGGAAAAAATAAATCCATCGCTATACAGCCGCAGGCAGAATTTGATGAGATAAATAACCGGAGTGTCAGCATTTTTGGTATGTGACCTACTTAAAAGCTTGCATGAGAACATTTTCACAGGGGCTAAACTGAAAGCGAAAGGACATTTTGATGAACGATGCACATGTACAGACCCACACACTCACCGCGGTCTGAAGGCATAGGCGCTGATGCCACCTGATGGATCACCGGTCGCTCAGAGTTACGGGAAATAATGCTGTACCGTCCCAGGACCGACTCTCCCTCTGAAGACTCCCTCAGCACATCCTCCTTGGTCATTTCCCCCTCACCACCTAAACACACAAAAAAGATGTATAACAAAAACATTAATAGTCACATCTGGGGAAACATTATAAACAGGCAAAAAAAAAACTATAAATTATATAAGATTTCGGTATAGACAGACAGACAGACAGATAGATAGATGTTTTTTTTTTCTTCTCTTTTTTTTGGGGCCATACATGAAGGACGCATCTGCAACTTGCTTTCATTTAACAAAAAAAAAGAAAAGAAAGAAAGGGTCTGCCTCAGCTTATAAAATCAAGCTAAAGTGAAAGTAAGAGAGTGGTTAGCATTAATAGTAATTCACAATACATAATTGCAAACTGAACACTTTTAAATCATAAAAAGAACTGAGACTCCCACCTAGGGAGATATAATTCATTCTGAATGCCCAAACATGATCTGTTCACTTGATTTTCACATTTGCATAATGCCAAATATGCATGTGCTTTACAGATAATTGGACAAAGGTAATCATGATACACAAAGGAGAAGAGCTATTTATTTCATTTCTGCGGAAATTACAAAATTTATATTTTACTTCGCGCAAATTTTAGACTCAAAAATTGATTAATAGATTAATCAGATTAATAAGCTTTTGCTTCATCCCGCTCCTTTTCGGACTTGTAATTATTGTTTGCAGCATTTGGTAGATGTGGGTTTGCCATGTTGCAACCCATTTATTGTGTTTGTATAACGCCTGCAGAACCACTCGGATGAGAGGAGGGACGTCGAAATATGCAGCGTAGTGGAGAGCGTTCATGTTGGTCCAGCGGCTAAGTAAGGACGGCTCGGCTCCCAGCGACAACAGCTGACGGGCGAAACAGGCCGCACTCTCAGCATCACTTGCAATCAGATGTGATTTCATATCGGTTCTTTTTCCAGTTATCACAAGTGCTGGATCAATGATCTGTCCTATTAATCACTATTAATTAAAAATATTTTTTGTTTGTTTGTTTTTTCTTCAATTGAACACATGCTCACCTATTCCTGGAGCTCCTGCCTTGCAGCAGTAGTGCAGCAAAGTCATGTCAGTGAGACCATCTCTGTCATTGACACCACAGCCTCTTTTCAGAATCTACAGAACACAAAAATTCTCCTTTGAATAGATACAGCAAGGACATCCAGCTAAAGATTTCATGCTGACAGAAACACACGCTGTCTGCAAAGATAATATTTCAGTCAACAGAGCCTGACACTGAACTGGGGGAGTGTGTGGGTATGTTTTATGACAGCTGCAAGAAAACATGAAATTGAAATTGACCCTGTTTAGATGCTAAATGTCCCTGGCCTTGTTACGCACAATACATCAGTGAATGTATTTCAGAAGAAAAAGAAAAGTTTGTTTTCACAATTTTTCATCAAAATGTAATTACATTCCTTTCCTCTGAACATTTTTCAGGAAAAATAAATATACCAATTAGATTTTTGCATCTTCTGAAGAAATTGTGAATGGTGCTTGTATTAATTAACATTGCTACAGGATTGCTAGGGAGTTCTGATTGTTACTTCAGCCCAAATTTTTGTTTCTATCCAAACCTAGTAAGCTGGTCATGCAGGCAACATTTTAAGGCATAATCGTGCTATTTATTTGTCCTATGATTTTTACGCTTATTACAATAGGCTAAAGGGGCACTGGTGGAAAAGGTACATTTGAATATTAAATTTTCTTTTAAACCACCAGATGTCCCAAAAACTCACCGCAGAATTTTTTCTAAACATCCACGCTGCATTATGTGCTTAGAAACTTGACTGATCCTTGATGTGATCTCCGGCACAATTTTTTTTTATTTTATTATTATTATTTTTTTTATTATGTATAATTTAATTTGGGTGTCCACCTTATAGATAATCACCATATTTATAATGAAACCATTATATTTAAAAACATTATA